TTCGAAATCTATAAACCAGACAGACAGATTAGTTTGTTATGATGTGATAGGTGCATCCATGGCAAGCAGATACATATCCTGCTAAAGCAGTAATTAACACATGTGGTTCTTGGTTCTCAATAATAACACCAGGGTGTTCAGAATTGCTCGAATAAATGTTCTTAAAACAATAAGTATTTGAGCTCAATACAAAATTTTCATATGAATTTGTAGACAATTATTATTTTGGAAAATATTTTCACCACAGATTTTAAGAATAAATATGTTATGTATTTGGGTAAAGATATGGATTATTATTCATTAAAAAAAATATAGATATGAATAATTAGCATATTGAGAAAATCAATGTTTAACTCTGAGAATCAGTTTCAAACTTTTGCCATATGAAAGTTCTATATTTAATATATCATTAAAATAAAATTAAAAGTTCAAAAGAAATAAGAGGAGCATTTTTTTCATTATATCATTCTCTATCATGTCATGTAGCTCTATATCGTGTTATACTAAATGTATAGAAGGAATCAACAATAGTACTTCTAGAAGATAATATCTGCAAGTCGTGCACAAGAGAATAATTGCCAAAGATATAGTTTATGGTGGCAGCTTACGTCCTCTTTGCCAGTGAATGGTCGAACAACTCCGCGTTCCTGAAGAGACTTCTGGAAGTCAGCGAATTTCCATGTACACCGCTCAGCTCCTACAACATAGACGGGTTTCCTGCAGCATTGTTATGAAAGCAAATATGCAGGTACGTATAAGTTCAACTAAAGAAATACTTGTTAAGAGATTGACCTAGTTATGTCCAAACATACCCAGTACTGCAAGCCTCGCTTAGCATACTCACTGAATCAGCAGTAATGACAAAAGCATCGGCCCAAGCTAGATGCCCTAAATGTGGATTAGGACCTGAACAAGGTGACTCAAGTACATGATAATGATCCTCACTATTGTGAAATCTGCACTGAAAGTGAAGAGAAAAAATGTTTGCACCTTTCCCGTCCCAAATGTACACCTTAGGGTTAGAGCTAAATTCTTGCATCAAAATTTTGGATACCTGTCAATAAGAGTGTCTAGGAAAAACAATGCATACTAAGATAAAAAAAGAAATTTAAACCAAAAAATTGCCGAAGCATTCATACCCTCTCAGGTGTCCTCCTAGAGAAAGATATTCTGAGGCTTCCACAACTCCAGAGAACACTGTGCAGCATAGAAGCTAACTGCTTTGCAAGATCAGCACCATATGGGCAGTTGCCTATGCAAAGATTCCAGATTGAGATACTAATTCTGATAATAAATATAAGAATGCATAATGCAACATCAGGTGCTTCATGAACCAAAAGAAGGCTTATGTTGATCAGGTTTTTGTTAGTACTGAGAAACCTTTAAAGGTTTACCAGAGGCGTCGAGCTATGTAATAAGTTGGTAAGGGGTCGCTTTTGTACCTAACCGTGACAGGTAGGATTGTGGGACTGGTTAGTTACAGCTGTTAGATCCAAAGAATCATGTGTAAATAGAGAATATCGACACGATTGTATCAAGATTGAACAAAAAGAAACTTCCATTCTCGATTCTCTCTCTAGCTACTTATCTTCCTCACTCTATCTCTCTCTCTCTCTCTCTCTCTCTCTCTCTCTCTCTCTCTCTCTAATTTCTTCTCTCTTCCCAAACCTACTTCAGTCGTCAGAGCTCAAGCTCAAGGCTCTTGATAGTTTTCCTCACAAATGAACACCAAAAACAGCTGAAAGAAGTCACTAGCAATACGAAGTATAGATTCTTTTAGCAAAAATCAGTTTAAGCACAGAACTATCAGAAACCTCTGACATTGTAGAAAATGAATACTACTTTTAAGCCCAGTGAGCATAACACATTAAGGTTATGTTTATAACAAATCAGCAAATCTCATGAAAATCTTTTGAAAAATTATATTTAACTTGATTAAGAAATTTTTAAAATCTCTTCTAAAAAGATAAAAACTAGCCTTCTTGGAAATTCCAATTTATATTGGGACAATCTAATTCAAACTAATAGAATTTGAAATACATTGTTCCAGTTCCATTTGAATTCTCTAGGAAGTCACTTTTGTCATCTTCTAATAGTAGATTCTAAATCAATTCACAATTTATTGATTTGTTCCAAACACAACCTAACTGAAAAAAATAATTCCACTATACCAACAAGGTAAGTAATGCAGAAATATTTGAATTTTCAGAAGTATCCACCAACAGAAATTTTAAGGCCTATAAATGTCTTCCAGTTTTTTTATATTCAAATATGCTAATAACGTCAGTCACCTTAAGGATATTCTGCACATCTTCCAAATAATAGTTTGCCAGCCACTAATTAACATCAAACAAAATGTAAACATAGACTCCTCTCTAGAACACAGCATGACAACTTTATAGATACATGACATATTACTTGCAGGTCCTCCAATATTGACCACTAGCAAAGGCTTCAGAAGAGGTGCAAGCTCATCATGCCAGGCAGAAGCAGCATTCCTAAGTGCAGCAAAATCAATCCGATGGAGAGCTCCCACCGTGAGAATCTAGATTTCAAAAGCCAAGCTTGTAAGTCATACACAACAATAATATAATAAACTACAAAGAATAACTAGAAATTGACAGACATGCTAAACTTTTCTATAGAGTGAACTCATGGTATCAACCAGCAAACATACCACATTTCTACCAGGGGGTTCGCGTGGAGTTATCCATCTCCGAAGAAACCAAGGAATTTGCTTCTGTGCATGAGGGGTCAATGGATAATAGTCATGACGAGGTGTAATAACCAGATCAAACCTGTCGAGTTGTGACCTTGGATGTTGTATCTGATAATGTTGTCAAACAAGGCTAAACAGTATTTAATATATAATTGGAGCATACTAATCATTGTTAGAAATAACCATGAAAATAAGCTGGACAACAATATTAGCAAAACGAATGCATGATACCAAAATTAAGAAGACTATATTCACAGTCAGAAAGAACAGAGGCAACCTTCTGTGTTGCTTTTCTACTAAAAGAAACAAAAGCTAACAATTTAGAGCCATTGTCTTATGGGAACACCTATATCAATTTAACAATTGCGTGAATAAGTCAAATTCTACATAACTGAAAAAACAAAAAGGACAAGTTTTAAGTCAAATTCAAGAAAACCGGAAAAGGAAAAGAGAAGAAAAAAAGTTAAGCCGAACAAGAACAGATGCAATATTCTGCCTTACTCTCCACTAAAAGCAGACCAAAGCTAATAATTCAGAGCCATCAATTTCTAAAACCACCTATATCAATCTAATAACTGTGAAACAAGTCAAATTTAAAACAATTGAATAAAGGAAAAAAGTTTAACCTGAACAACGAAAACATTATCTCGAGCTAACTGTTTAATGGAGCTTGCAACTGTTACAGTATCCCGACCAGAGGCAACTACTAATAATGGACCATCCCTATCTTTCAGAAAAAGAAAGGGAAAAAACACAGTAAAAATACATAATTTGATAAGAAATGAAAGCATAAATACTTATGGCTATGAACACGCAATAGGTTTATATAGTATTATAAATACACCACCAGAACATATTACAGATAAGTAAAGACACTATCCATTCAAGATTCAGATTGCCATTATCGCAAGGGAGGAAAAGCATACTTCTCGAATGTCTCACAAGCCATATTTGCGATCTGCTTTGCATCAGCTTCTAAAATATCAGACAAGCCTACAGAACACGCCATTTTCATCAACAGGAAAAAACAACCACCAATTTCTCCTCCAACACCAACAAGAATATCGCTTAATCAGTCATTCTACAAGTAAAACTTTGAGAAGATTAACTACCTGTTGCCTCAGCCGAAAATGGCGTCACTCCGCTGCCAACAAATGTCGACTTATACAGCGAATCGCCACAAATTTGCCTAATGTAGTGATCAAATTTTTTATGGATAGAAACAGGAAGCCAATGGAGCCATTTATTGAAACCTCCTCTTGGTCTAGTTACTCGCTGCATATAGCGAGCGATGAACGTCGAACACCGGAACAAATAATTAAAAAGAATGCTAATTACTTAATCAAAGCTTAGATAAAAATATTTATATAACAAAATAAAAATATGCGGCAAATGAGCTAAAACAATAATAAATTTTTAAGAAGAAAATTGAAGATAAGGGAAGAGAAGCTGGCTTACGTAGAAGGAGTAACGGCCGGAGAAGCCCAATGCGCGAACCAAGCCGACGCACTGATTTTCTGCGCCGGCGAAACCGTTTCCGATCACAACTGCTCGTCTGATTGCGCCATAGAACCCAGCTTCGAAGATATCGGGCACGCCGGCCAACCTGACCGGTGGTTCTGGGAGTCTGATCGGCCGCATGGCCGTAGTAAAGTAGTAGCCTGCGGCGATGCAGAGGATAATATAATTCAGTTCGCTCGTCTTAAATGCTCAGTTTTCCATTGCCGGGGAAACAGAAAGGAAATGGAAACGAAGACGGTAAGTAGTTTTCGGTTACCGCCCGAAAACTTTTATGCGTCGCCGACGGGAATGTTTGTCCCTGTCTATCAACGCCAGATATGAGAAAACAAAAATAAATAAAAATAAAAAGAAAATCGGGTCGATCAAAATGGAGTTGCCTGGTGACTCAATATTAACCCGACCCGAACTTTTAAAATTAATTAAAGATTAAAATTAGTATACTTAATAAAAAATTAATTTGCTCTTTTACGTTATATAGATGATAACAATAAGCATTATGAAATAAATATATACTAATAATTTTTGAAACTTTTTGAATTCTTAATTTTAAATAAAAAACTTATGTGGTAAACTTATTTTAGTATAACTAGTAAAATTGCATTTAAGAAAATTACATATTTAAATAATTTTGTAAATTTAAATATTAAATTTTACAAAAATTAAAACCGAATTTCATTGAAGTTTACAGTTCAGAAATTACTTAATAATTTAAGTTAATTTAAGAATTAAGATTAAAAATATTGGTTTTCAAAATAATCGACCGGTTCAAGAATCAGGACATTTGGAGAATTCCGGACTACCCGAAACCGACCCGAGTCTCCATTCCCCTTCAAAAGTTTGCTGGGAAATTACTCGTGCGGCGAGTAGTGTCTCTCTCTCTCTCTCTTTCTTGCGAGGATGTGGGCAAGCGCAGAAGGAGGTCCTCCCGAGGTTACTCTTGAGACCTCCATGGGTTCTTTCACTGTTGAGGCATTTCTCTTTCTCTTCTCCCTCTCGACCCCACTCTTTTTTTCTTTTTTGCCTTCTGTTTGGTTGCTGAGAAAAGGAAAGAATAACTTTTTTCTAAAACGATTCAATTAGCATTTCTAGGTTTAGTTTGGTTGAGTGATTTTAGTTTATCTGCTCCAGATAATGAGTTATTTAGGGTAGTTTTACTAATGAATGCTTAAGTGCTTTGCTTCCATCTACTTCCTCGGTTACCAAACTTCGAGATAGACGGAAATTTTGTGGCTCCTCGTTTGTTTTGATTGAATTTAATGTAATTCACAGCTTTATTACAAGCATACACCAAGGACTTGCAGGAACTTCATCGAACTCTCCCGTAGAGGTTACTACGATAATGTCAAATTTCATAGAATTATTAAGGTTCTCTTTCTACATTGCATTATCTGCTGAAGAACACAGCTTTTTTTTTTTTACTGTAATTGGCGAAATGGATGAATTAATTACATTTTGATAAATTTTATATTGATCGGTGGATCTAGGATTTTATAGTGCAAGGTGGAGATCCAACAGGAACTGGAAGGGGTGGAGATTCCATATATGGGTAAGCTTTATTTTTTTGTTACATATCTAAACTCTGAGTAGCGATCATTTCTTGAAAAGATATGACTAAGATTATGCCATTTTTTATTCCTTTTAACCAAAATAATCAACCGATCGATATTAATTGAACCAAACTAGCTGATTTCGGGACTATAACTGAAACTGAACTGATTGAATTATCTCGGTCAGTTAGGTTATGGCTTATAAATTTTGTACCTGGCAAACTCTATAGCTCATAAACTCTATGGCTTATAGAAGCTCTCTTAATCTTTTATCCATTAGTGATAACTAGAAATCAGCGCATACAAAGAAACAAAATAAAATTTGTACTCGAGAGCCGAGACCGTAAGACTTGACTTGAGACTTTGAGTCTTGAGAGTTGAGAGAGATCATATGAGATATGAGAGCTTCTGGCTCGAGTAGTGGAGCAAGAGCTAGAAAGAGCTTCTGGTTCGACTGAGAGGTGAGAGGAACTGAGGCCATGAGGGTGCCTTGTGCCATTGTGCGTTCGTGCTGGTAAAGAGTATGGTGGACTGGGAAAAGCTGAGAGGGACAGGATAGTAGAGCTTCTGCATTTCGACTGAGAGGCAAAACCCGAGAGGGTGGGTGCTGCTGTGCCGGTCAGTGAGGACTGAGGGAGAAGACTCAGGAGAGTGTGTGTCAAGAGGGAGAGGGACCTGGGTGAGAACTGAGGGCCAAGGGCGGTAATCAGAATTGGGAAATTGGGAATTAGGGTTTAGGTATTATATTATTATATATAATTATAATTTAAATATAAAAACATATATGTTTTAAATAGTTATTCAGTCAGTTGAGTTCACTAGTCCAGCAAACTGCAACCGAATTGATTTTTGACCTAGCCGAACTGACTTAATCGAATTGAGCAACATAACTGGTTTAACCAAACTGGTCTCCCTAACCAGTTCAGTTTGAACTAGTTTTTTGGGCCTGGTTCGGTTCTGTACACCCCTATATTGGAACATCTATTGCTCCAAACAATGTTTGATGACTCTTTCTATGGACGAACACCAATTTCCTGTTATCCTTTTGGTTATTAGTGTTGGAAGGGATTGTTACACGGATTGTATTGTTATTAATTTCAGTGCTAAGTTTGAAGATGAGATCAAGCCGGAGTTGAAGCACACAGGAGCTGGTATTCTCTCCATGGCAAATGCTGGTCCAAATACAAATGGTAGCCAGTTTTTCATAACTTTGGCACCAGCGCCATCTCTGGATGGTAACGATATGATTGTCCTTGTTTTCTCTAAGAATTGTATAGTCAGTCTTCTTGAAATAATTTCCTATACAGGCACTAACTTTTGTTCAAAGAGCACATGTGCAAGCATATTATCTATTGTATTCAATCTGTAATGTTATTTTTCTAGTAGAAAATATCTTTTTCTTTTTTGGTTGAGAGATGAGGAGGCACGCTGCTTCAGGTTTCCATGAAGTTTAGACCATTGAAATTATAAAGGTTGGCATTGTAGTCCAAACAACAAGGCTTTCCATTTTGAATGAAAGATACAACTTGCTTACCTTCGTGTGGCTAGAAGCAAACTGGAACTCCAGTTGGGATCAAATTCTTGCCTAATTTGTTAGACAGACCTCAGTATGGATTGTGGGGTTTCCTTGTGTTTTTATGATGCTTAATATTTTGTTATTGTCATGCAGGAAAACATACAATATTTGGAAGAGTATGTCGGGGAATGGAGATTATCAAGAGACTTGGTAGTGTCCAAACTGATAACAGTGATAGGTTAGTATATCCTGATGCTTTTTCTTCTTGATTGGCAATATATTTCTGATTTTTAATGCTATTGATTTAGAGAAATTGCTGTTATACGTGTTATGGGTTTCTTTGAAAATATGAGCAAAACTGTATGGACATAGGCCGACCATCTTTTTACAACCAATATATATATTTGCTGTGCAGATGACCTTTGAAAAGTGAAAAGCTAATGGTTTTTATAAAATGACAACATAATCTAACAGAAACTGAATTGTAATAAAAAACTTTGAATTGCAGCAAAAGTAAACACTAAAAAAGAAACTGCACTTTGCAAATATACACACACACACACACACACACACATATATGTATATATAAAATCAACGATTAAGTAACATCTAGAGGGTAACATGGTATGGTTTCTTTTTATGCTGCAGTCGAACTCACTCAGCCGCATGTTGACTACATTAGACACAATGCTTTTACTCTTGAAGCTTTTAGTTAACAATATGAGTAATGGGTTTTACTCCTGAAGTGTTTGTAATGAATATCCATTTCTCATTCATCACTTTTCTGCACATTATATTGACTCGTACAAAGGCCTGTACTTCAAGTCTTTTCTTATAAATTTCCTCTTTTAATTCAGGCCAATCCACGACGTGAAGATATTACGAGCAACAGTCAAGGATTAAGGCTGCAGTCTACTCGTACTTATTTCTTCCTTTTAATACACACTGATCCATGCTTTGTACCAATATCAAGGCTATTGTTTCTTTGACCAACATTCAAAACTGAAGATTATGTGTTTGATGAGATCTTTCCCTGGGAACAAGAGAGAAACAAAGGGCAAAATGAGTTTCAGAATTCTGTTATATAAATTTCTCTTTTATACCACGTTGATTCCTACTGCCATCTGAATTTGGAAAATTCAATTGCCAAGTCTCCTTTTATATATTGACAATCATTATGAAAATTGAACTCAATTTGTTAGTGTTGCCATTAAAGATACAAAAGGTAAAGACTATGACTATACATAGAAAATGAATGGGCCAATGGAGTTTGAGGTAATGCTTACAGGTTTCTTGACCTTGGATTAGGTTCCCAAACACTTTGCATTCAAGACCTTTATTATTAAAATCATATCAGATCGGCCAGCTACAATTATCTGTTTAATGTTTAGTCAGATTAGTTCCATTGGATAGCTACATTAAATAAGAAACAATTTAAAATAGCCAAAAGTAATAAAAATGGCCTACTCCAGGGCCAATTAGTTTCAAAAATTCAAAGTAACCCAGAATGCATACCTGTGAATATTTATAAATTCGAAGTAACCTAACGAACATCAGAGCAAACATCGTAGTTTAAGTTAATTCATATAATTTCCTATTATCATACTCACAGTCAAGTGAGATCACAGACTAACATTACTACACAACAGGTATGATAAAATCCTTGATCCCCTGGTGATCCAACTGATCTTCCCAAGAATCGCAAACCACAAGCCAGAGCCTTGAGAAATTTAAAAAGGAAAAAGAAAAAGAAAAATACAACTCCTTTAATATACAGGCCACAACTAGTTCCTATAATCCAGATCAGAAAAATGTCATACAGATAAGCAACTTATAGCATCATCTCTCTTCCAATCCGCTATAGCTTTCGATGAAGAAAAATCAAAGCAGCAAAAATTCGGCATTCTTTTCCCCGAAAAAAATGGTGTCCTTCACAAGGTGGCAAGGTACTGTTGTGGCAGTCACTCAAAAATTCAGCTTATGAAACCATAGAATGACACATGGCTCAAGTAATTCTGGCCTTGCAGAGGGGAACAAGAACAATCTCTTGAATGGAAGCAATCTCTGGTTGCCTCAATGAACTCCAACATCAGCTCAAGTTGCCTGACTCTATGCTCTTATTTGACTGACTCCCATTCTCTTCACAAGTGAAGGAATTCATTAGAGATGATGGGACTGGACCAAAACCATTGCTCTTGATAGTTCCAAGACTTTCCTCTTTAGGGACTTTGTTTGGCTCCGTGTTTTTTGCATGTGACTCCTCACAAAACCCCTGTTGCTGTTGCAGCATTTCTATACGCCTCAAAGATGGCACATCACCTTTACAGTAGCGTTCCCACATGTTCCGGTATGTTGACTCTAGACTAAGGGTAAAGTTAGCTCCATCACATACAGGTGATTTAGCCATGAGTTCCCGAAGGCTCATCCTCAAGGTAGAAAGGGCTGTGATGTCAGAGGCCAACTGCAGTGCCAATTGGACATATTCATCTTCATTTTTGGCAATCAGATGTCCTAGCCCTATATTGCATGTAGTCATAAGTTCAAATCAATTGAAAGTAGAAAGCCATGTAATTAAGACCACAGTATTGTGATTTTTTATTTTTGATAAGAAACACTATTATCACTATGACTAATTGAACAAACAACGATTTTACAGGTTCACTGCAGGCTATCAACATAAAAACAAATGGAAAATGATCTAACAGAGTAATTTAATAGTTACACATAATGCATAATCTACAATCTTTCTATCTAGAAAATCTGGGGTAGACAACCCAAAACAACAGAGTACCAAATTTGGTTGCACACTCTTTGACTGTTTAAACAATGACAGGTTACACAAGATATGAACACTGTGATCAAATGAAAGTGCAGGGAAAATTGCTTACCAACTTTGGAGAGCAGACTCACACCAACGTTGTGGGCATGTACAGAACCGGCCATGGAAACACATGGAACTCCCATATATAGAGATTCACATGTTGTGG